AAATGTCTAAGATTGAATGATATTGTTTGCACTAATAATTTCCAATTTTCATTGTTTATTGAATGGAGTCCAAGAAACTAATGAAATTTAAGTAAATTTTGAAAACATTTTTAACTACTGTGTTCTTCTCTTCATTATTCCAACATTCCATTTTCTAGCAAATCTCAAAGAGAATGCCAAGTTGTAATTTGCTTTCAGACAGTAAGTGGAGCTGAAGTAATTGTGCTTATCATTAAATGCAATTTATACATTATATTAATCAATTATAATTAAATGGCAGAAGTAATTAAATTATTAACTAAAGTTAATATTGAGTTATTCTGCAAGTGATAAGCCTCTCATTGTTTTGCACCCTACAAAAGGATGAAAAATAACATCCATTTTATGTGCAGTGTTTTAAAGTGCAACTACCACTAGAATGCAACCCTATATCCAGGGCTTGTGCTACCACTTATATTCAAAACAATACACAAAAGAACAAAACAAATGAAACTAACGCACCAGACAAAATTTTGAACAACCATAAATTGTTTCAGAAGGGGAAAATTGTCAGGTTCGTCAGCAAATAGATTAAAAATTACCCTGGAGCTTTAAAAAATGTGTTTCTCATACAAGCACTTTTTCTCTTAAAATCATCAGCTATCTCAAGCAACAGACACAATGACGTAAGAACCTACTGTACTTGTATTTCTGTTGAAATGTAACATTTGCCTGCATTTTTACAAAAATGATGCAACATTTCTCTGATAAAACCAGCATAAATACCATGGTCTACAAAGTTATAACTAAAGAACAAATAAATTAGGCTCCCAGGGTCAAACATATAAGATTCACCACTTTGTAAGCGAGACTGAGAGCTGGGTTGATGGTTTCTGTCTGAGGATCATGCACTTGCCATTTCCCAGATGGTGTTGTGACTTCAGGCAGGGGAGAAGTGGCCATTTCCTGATGTACTGGATGTTACAATCTCTTCCTCACCTTCCGAGACAGGCACAGGCGGATCAGCAAGAGCTGTTGCACAGTGGAGAATAAAAATTAATTTTAATTTTAAAAAAATATACAAAACATATCACACTTCAAATAAGGTTACCTGATATTTGTGGGACTGATGTAATGGATTCCATTGCTGTAGCCGATCTAGCAGAATCTCCTATAAAATAAATCAACATTTTAATATCATCTCAGTGAAAGAATTCAAGCCAAATGTTGATGTGGTTCACAAGCACGAATACGATGGCAGCGATTTGGAGTACATCCAAAATACTACAATTTTTTCATTTCGTAACCTGTGATTATCTGTATTTTTAAAAGGTTAAATGAAAATATACTCACGTAAACAAGAAACTGCCACCAATCGCAGTCTCCTTTTGGGGGCAATAGCAATGAAATCCTCAGCCCTAAAATACGCACTGCATAAATGCCTGTCACGGGATCCTTTCGCCATCTGGGATTCTTGCAAATTTCCTCCATTTTTGCAGGACAAAAGGCCTCGTCTTTTCGGAAGGGAATCTGTGGAACGAGGATTCCTTCCAATCGTTTTTCTAATGATTTAAAGGTTGTGGACATACGCAACAGGTAGAGCATGTGTGAGAAACAAACACAAGACATCTTGCTCTACACTTTATAATAATTGACGAATTTTCGTATGTATTAAGCTTTAATAATGATTAATAGATATATAATTAATTAATAACACCGAGTACTTACCTCTTAATAAAAATTGAATTTGAAAAAATGGTGTTCGCCGAAGTCACAGACCGTCAAGGACACAACCGGACACAAAAGCAAACAGCAAAGTAGGAAAGCCGTTGTCCTTCAAAACATCTTTGTCCTCCGCGGACATCGATGTCTTCGGTAACACTCGTTTATTCTCGGTCGCATTCGTGTCATTCGAAATTCTCTTTCTCTGTTTAATATTCGCTTTCTCTTTCTAACACTGCGACTGCAGGGCCCTCCGTCAGGCGGAATCCCAACTAGACTTTGCGGAAAACGCAGGCCAGACCCAGCCCTATGAAGCTAGGAGCCCCTGTAAGAAACTCCACGCACGTGCTACCTTTGGAAGTATATGTGGAAACATTTGTAGTATTGTGAAGATTGTTAACCTGTTGAAGTTGTTTTTGCGTTTCTATTACCAGTGTACTTCGTTTCTCCACTGGTAGATTACTTATTAAAAACTGCAGAAAGCAAAATGGTAACTAGAATTCTTTCTTTCTTAAATTCTGTTTCTCAATAACTCGTGTCTTAATTAGTGGTTGTCAGATCTTATTTGCAAGAACTTTTTTCTTACAATGAGTGAAGAGAGGTCACAAGAAGCTTTAAAAAAGGAGTTAACTACTCTTCTAAAGAAAGAGAAAGAAATAGATAAAGAACTTCAAAGTGTTGCTCACAACTCACAGTTAAGTCTTGAAATAGAGCAACTTCATGTTTATAATGATATCAAGGATGCTGCTCAAGTTGTGTTAGGAAAATTAGCCAATCTTAAGGGTGCAACTGTTGCTGAGTTACATGAAGAGTATAACCTTCCAAATGACCCTTAAAAGCTTGAGAATAATTCAGAAGCATATTTCTCATCTGTGTTTATGTCTTCAGGGTAAAGCAAAGCAAGCAAAACTTGCTATGCAGAAATATGCAAAGATGAAGAAGATGATAAGTTCAACTGATGCAAGAATGTAAGTACACTTTGTATGAGTACAGTAATGATAGATATTATTGTACACACTCTTTCACAAGAGATGAGACATACATTAACCTCCATTTAGCATGAACTTGCTTAATGCAAATTACACCATAGTATGAACCAAATGTTGGTCCTAGACAGTAATGCATATATATATATATATATATATATACACACACACACATATGCATTACTTGCTGTTAAATGAAAGTTACATTAATTGCTTGATTCTTGTTGCAAGAATCATGACTTTTCTCCAGTTAAAATCCATTATCAATTCCCATATGAATTGGTGACTTTCATACTCCTGTTTACATTTGTACTTTTTAATTTAAAAATTATTGAGGAAACTGAATCAATGCTACATGAAGTAAATGTCCAGAAATTGTTATTGAATCATGGTTGATTTTTTTAACTGCAGTGAATGTGTACTTGTTTCATAGCCTAGATCTCTTTTTTGCAGAAAGAATAAGAAACCATCTACGAAGAAGAAACCTGAAGATCCTCATAAAATAGAAGTTCGTGAAGTGTAAGATATTAATTTTTATTTTTTTACAAATTATGTAATACCATAATGTTCACAATGTCAAATATTCTTTTTCAATTTTTTTGGTGGGTATTGATGGGTTTGATGCGTTTTCTTTTTTTCAGTCCTCAAGCTTCATCTGCATTATTCTTTCAATATAACACTCAACTGGGACCACCATATCATATTCTTGTTGACACTAACTTCATTAATCATTCAATTCGATACAAACTTGACATTATTCAAAATATGATGGATTGTTTGTATGCCAAATGTAAGACAAAAGAGGTATTTACTATTTAATTATTCTCTCTTACCATTAGATACTAATAATCATTTATTTTTGCATAGGCATTCCATACATAACCGACTGTGTTCTTGGAGAAATTGAGAAGATGGGAACTAAATTCAGTGTTGCTTTAAAAATCATAAAGGATCCACGTTTTGAACGTATTCGTTGTCTGCATAAGGGAACATATGCAGATGATTGTTTGGTACAAAGAGTAACTCAGGTAAAAATCACTCTTCTTGCATGATTACTAAAATGACATTAGTTCATATGAATTCTTTCTCAATAATCCATAGTTGAATCATTAAAATAAATATTAGAAGTGGAAATTGCTATAAATGAAGGCTGCCCAGCATGGAATGATGCAACAGGAAATTATCAGTTGAGGGGTGGTTCTTAAATTACGCAATGCTAAAAAGGAGCGAGAGATTTTGAGGAAGCATTACATAAGGGTAATGGGTATTAGTTTATTGTTATGTAGCATTCATATTTATTTTTTGCAGTTTTCAACATTTACTGAAATAATTTTTTAATCAAATACTAAAACATTTAAGTATTAGCTAATGAATTTGTTTTATAAACATAAATAAATTAAAGTTATTACAAGTACATTGTTACAATAAATGAAAATATTTTTTCATCAATTTTTTATTGAATCTGTAGGATTACAAAGAAAATATTCCAAACTGATATGCAGTATATTCTTGAAACTGATATGCAGTATATTCTTAAATTGGTGCAGTAGACTCTTGTCAGATGGCCTGTGTGCAGCTTGTAATCAAATTGTTTTTACTGTGCTATAATTTATTTTCTGTTCTTAAATTTACAAGTGGGGGAAGGGGTGTAGTCGCAAATGTTTCATAAATATTGGGGGAGAGGGCATGCACATGTTATGGATTACAGGGGTGGGGGTATTCAAAATAATCCAAATTTGCATTACGTAATTTATGAACAGCCCTTGAGACGTATGGTGATACAAGTAGGATGCAATCTATGGTTTCAAACTAGACTTGGCAATGATCAGAAAACGGTTGAAAACAGATCTAAGGGCCTGAGCCTTAGTTGATATTGACATTTACTCACATTCTATTCGGAATAGTTTGATTGCCCCGGCTTTGATGTTATTGTTAGTGCCTCAATGGCAGAGACCATTTTCAAAATTTTTAAATATTAAATTTCCCTCTTGTAGTTTTCTAGGTTGAGAGTGAAAACAGTCACTATACCTTCAATGTTATGTAGTGTTGATATCTGGACTGATATTCATGCACACTTTCTTGCGCCCCAATTTTGTTTGAGGTGTGGGGGACTTGGGTTATTTCAATGGTAGGATTTTTATATCAAATCTGTTGATCACTTTTCAATACAAAATTGTTTCTATTACACAGGAGTGATCATTTGTGGTTTTTAGGTTTTGGCTACAAGTTGCTATTATTTATTCTTAATTCAACAAAAGTTAATAAAGGAGTGAGTGTAGGTATTCTGGGGCTCAAGAAAATGTGTGTGTACAATTTCCAAAATTTGTTGATAACCTCCCACCAAAATTGTTTCCTTTCTATAACTGAAGGACTTTCATATATAACCTTATCAGAACATTTACAGAATTGTTTTCTATATTTCACTCTGACAGCACAAGTGCTATATTGTGGCAACAAATGATGTTGATTTAAAAAGAAGAATTCGCAAGATACCCGGTGTACCCATCATGTATGTTGCAAAGCACAGGTATGTAATTCAAAAGAACTTCAATATCTACAATTAGACCAGCTTATGTGGCTCAGGGCATCAATTGATGTCACTACAGCATCTCTAACTGGGAAGTCCTAGAGTTCAAGTCAATGGTAGGAGGATTTTCAACATTAGCTAGATCATGGTTGTTCAACTGGCCATCCACAGGTCTTGCGCAGCCCGCAGTGGCATTTATTGTGGTCAGTGAAAGGTTATTAATCAAAGGTGAAAGTACCTCACGTTCATATCGGGTGAAAACATTGTGTGCTTAGTGCATGGACGCTTCTGGGGTCAACACCTCTTTAATACAAAATAGGTTAAATTTATATTTAATGATTTTTTTATTTTATTTTTAATAAATTCAGAAATTCAAAATCATTCCAAAGTGCTTCTCTGCATTATGCATGGTACGGCTTGATATCAAGAGTGGTTTCATTCCTCCTCCCCCCCCCCCCTCCCCATTTCAGAGCAGTTGGGCAAAGGGCCGACAAACATTAAGGGGAATTCAGGTGTGGATGCTCGAGTATTGAAAATATGACCCATAAGAATATTAAAGGTTTTAGTTGTGGCCCTTCAGGCCAGAGACCAGGCAAGCTGACACCCCTGAGCTAGAAAGCTTGGTTAAATTGAGATTCTGTTTGGAGAAGAAGCTGCTTTTTTCACCATTTCTTAACAACAGCTCCAATTTTTTAAATGAAAATTGTCATTTTGGATGAAGTTTTACTCTTCTTTAATATTCTTAAAATAATATTTTGGTTCTCCTCTTAGAAAACGGAAAAATTGAGGAAAGAGGGGGGGGAAATGTACTTTAGGCAGCGATAGATGGCAACTGACGAGTATCTGGCAAGTCCAAATAGCTACCCCAGACCAAAGAAAATAGAAAACTAATACGAGAAAGTCTGTGCCATTCTGTAGCACCCCTAGTTGTTTATAGCTTATTTATTAAGCTTGAAAGTCACTATAAAATTGTATGGATTCCTCTTCTTTTCCTTCTATTGGTGCATAGATTCCTATGACATTTAATTTACTTTCGGTGATACAGAGTTTGAGAGTTGTTATTATTGTTATTGTTGTTATTATTATTATTATTATTATTAGCCTTCAATACTGGCAGGTTTTCCATTTATTGGGTATCCTTATTGCAATTCTTGCTGCTGCTGCTGTTTCTTCCTGCTTTACTTCTGAATATATTGGAATGTGATTCTGCATTCGTTGAGTCACAATGCTTTCTTTTTTCTTTCGTCTGACAGAATTATAATACTTTAAATTCTATTGTAAATTATCTTGAGGTAAGAAAGTAAAGCAAACAATTCCTAAAATTGCCAGTGCTTCAGCTCTTGTTAAGTTGACACCAGAGCTATAACTGAAAATATTTGGTTTTCATATTCCAACCAAACTATTGTGCTATTAGAAACATTAAACTCTTATTTATTCAGTATTTTCACATGTAATCTGTATATTGCTTTCATATTGTTTGCTTCCTACATGAAAATATAATATTTTTTTGTTTTATAACACTGATAAAGGTGAAAAAAAGCTGAAACATTTACAATTCAAGGAATATTTTTTTGTGGTCTAATCTCAACATAATTCAAGAAAAGATAGTTTTATTTTTGCTAAAGATATTGTCATTTTAACCTCTCCAGTTATTAGAATTTTGGTAAAAAGTACCTAATGGAAAAACTGTTCTGAATATCTAAAACAAAAAAGAGGAAAGTAATTTTTTGCCAATTTATGATAAGAAATAAGTATTGTAAGACATCTTACAACAATACATGATTGAAAAATTATTGTTGAAAGTTATTGTAATACGATGTTATGACATGAATATCATATACTGTTTTGTCCACTCAATAAAAATTCCAATAAACTATAATTTTTGTTCAAATTTGACTATTCATTCAGTGAAAGATGTATAGTAGTTAATAACCCGTGGATTATTACAACACATGTTCCAATACCTCGTATTATGAAACCGATTTCAGTTTCTTAAAGTTAGATTATAGCTAAATATAATTTAATGGTAATAATTAGTTTATGCTGTAAAAAGTTGTAATCTTTTTTTTTTTTTTTTTTTTTTTTTTTTTTTTTTTTTTTTTTTTTTTTTTTTTTTTTTCCTCCCTGAATTACAACCTGAATCTGTCTGAATTGATGTGGTGGTGTCCTTTTTTACTATAGTGGATTTTTTTTAAACATTGTATTTCTTTCTTTCAGATACACTATTGAAAGAATGCCAGATGCCTATGGTGCTCCAAAAGTGTAAAGTAAATTTTATATTACTAAGGACAAAGAATTGTATGTATAAATTTATGTAATGTGTTTATAATATTAAAATCTGTAGTTCAAAACACTTGACCAGATTGAACTCTTTGTATTTATTTTATAATAAATGAAAAAAAGGTCTGAATTAAACACTTTTGGTTAATAATTGGTTACATAGCCTTTCATAATGCTTTCAAACTATTGAATCTTCTTTTGGACCCATGAATTTTATAACCAGTCAACTAAACAAGTAGTCTTTGAATTTAATATTTCAATATTCATTAAGTCTTGATTTGTGTTATAATTTTTTAGGATTTATAGTTTATGTAAACCATTTGTTATATATCAATTGGATCATGAAAAGCAGTTCTCAATTTGAAAGAATATCAATAAATAATTTCAATCACAAAGAATGTTGTTAAATAGATGAAATATTCAGTGGATTTTAGAATATTTTGTTACCTTTAAATCAGTCTTATATCTCAATATTTACTTTGTCAATGGCATCCATGTATCAACGTTTCATCAGCATAATGAATAAAGACATTTCTGATTATTTCTCAATTTTGAAATTATATATAGCTCCCCTTATGTACTAGGTACATACACTACATAAATAAAGAGATAATATTTAAATTCCATGTGCATTTTATGATGAATTCATTTTTTTGTTGACACAAATGCTTCATATGATCTCTTATGATGTTCCTTGAAATTTTTAATGTTTTCTTGTGTGTATGTCTAATAAGCAGGGGGCAGATTTATCAATTATCAATTTGCTTTTGTGCACTTGTTTGGGGCCACAGGTAATTCTTCTAGTATTGCTACATTTCCTACTGCTTTTAAAGATGTTTCTCACTTCAGTCGCCATTCCTGTGGGACTACCTTTTGTTTTTGTTTTTCTCTAGTTAATAAGTAGAAGTTGTTTTTAAAATTTTCATCCAAATTTTTCTTTTTTTAAATTTATTTATTTATATACATATAATTACAGGCAATCGCCCAATTATTAAATATCATTTACATTACAGTATTATTGAAAATCATTTAGTAACAGGTTTTTATAAGTTTTTTTAAATTGATAAGGTGAACAAAATAAGTTAATGTGGTTACTGTTGGTACTTCTACACATTTTCCATAATGGCGCATAATAGTGCAAGGTTGATCTCGCAAAAGGAATAACAAATAACATGCTGTTTGTAGAACGCAGATCACACACAGGATTAGCCCAAGGAATTTTACAATGTAATTCTGAAGAGTCTATATGATTTATCAAATTATACAGAAAAAGTACATCAAAATAATGCCTATGGGAGCGTAATGAGCTAATATTCAATCTAGTTGTGACTTTGAAATAATTGTGACTAAATCTAGGAGATGGAATATCAAGCTTGAAGGCAGCAAAAATAAAAAAATTGTGCTGAACAGTTTCAAGTCTAGAGATATGGTTCTGGCAAAAGGGAGACTATATTTGTGAGCCATATAATAATATCCATATAATACTAGAGTTAAATATAAAGTTTTGATGGTTTGCACATTAGTAAATTCATATGCAATACGTCTCACAAATCCTAACATCTGATTTAATTTATTAATAGTATCGTCAATATGTGGATGAAAACTCATTTTATGATCAAAAATAACACCCAAATCTTTTAAGTATGAGACTGATTCCAACATTGCATCAGTTCATAATTGAATACAAGGTGATTACTAGATCGAGTAAAAGACTAGGACTTACATTTACCATTATTCAAATTCAAACATTTTGATGCACCAATCTAACAATGTATATAAGTCACATTGTAAATCGAAACAGTCTGTAATGAATTTATAGTTTTATAAATTGTCAATTGTCAATTATAAGTCGTCAGCAAAAAGTAGGAATTTTGAATATGGAAGTGTTTTCTTAAGATCATTTACAAATAGAATGAATAATAGTGGGCTTAGGTGGGAACCTCGTGGGACTCCACATGTGACGTATATATTTCTAGAAACGAAGGATTTATATTTCACAATCTGCGTTCTCCCAGTTAAGTAACTATAGAACCAATTCAAGATTGTACCATGGATATCAATTTCTTCCAACACATGAAGTAAAAGAACACGGTTTACAGTATCGAAGGGTTTGGAAAATTCTGTATAAATTACATCTACTTGTTTTTGTATATCTAAATTTCCAAGTATAATGTAGGATAGTCATCAAATTAGTAACAGGAGACCTCCCTTTACGAAAACAATGTTGTTCTTCGATCAAAATTGGATTTAGAAATTGCGTCAATTTAATTGTTATGATGGATTCCATCAATTTAGCAATTATACAAAGTTTAGAGATTGGTCTATAACTCTCAATGTTAGAATGTTTATCTTTTGGGTGAATCAGAGTTATATAACTGGTTTTCCACATCTTTGGGAGGGTTCCTTCTCGCAGAGATTTAATAAATAAAAAGTGTAGGATTGGTATCAGATTCACATTACAATTTTTCAATAATAATGATGGTATACCATCAGGGCCAGGAGAAGTGTCGGTTTTCAATTTATCAATAGCATTAAAAACATCACGTTGAGTTATATCAATGAAGCTAACATCAACCAGTTTATCGTCGTGATTTGAATTTCTAATAGTTGGAATATCGTCATTTTTATACACAGTTTCAAAAAATTTTGCGAATAAATCTACAATTTGTTGAGGTGAATCCACAGTTTCATTCCGAAAAAACATAGAATTTGGTAAGCCAGATATTTTTCGCTTAGCGTTAGCATACTTCCAAAATGATTTAATGTCGTGATCGATAGAAGTTTCAATTCCAATTAAATAATCAGAAAAATCCAGCGCTTGTTTCGCTTTACATTTTTTCCTCAAATTAGAGAAGATAGTATAATCATTAACATTTCGAGATAGTTTAAACTTTGAATGAGCGCGCGATTTCTCCTGAAGCATGTTTATCAAATCCTTTTAAAAACCAAATTGGATAAGATGAAGAATAATGAAGTTTTCTAGGAACGTGTTTCTCGATAATTTCATATAATTTATTATATAAGATTTCAATTGATATGTCTAAAAAATTTACAGTAAATAAGGGATACCAATTAAACTTTAATAATTCTTCATTTATCATATAACAATCAGCAAGTTTAAAATTACATACAAGTTTGTGAGAGTCTAAAGGTAAAGTGATATTGTCATTTTCCAAAGTGATATTGAGAGCAGGATGATACTTATCACAAGAAACTAGTGGAAAGTCAGATTTAATTATTTGTGATAACGAGTCATTGGTGAAAATTAAGTCTAACATTTTGTCATTAACATTTACTACGTTGTTAATTTGATTCACGTTCAAGTAATTCATAGTATTTTTGAGTAGATTACCAATCTGATAAGTGATATCAAAAGTACCAGTTGAAACATTATTTACAGTAATGTAATTTTCTGTAGTCCAATTGATATCTGGTAAATTAAAATCACCAGTTATTATAAATTTAGCTGTAGGATATTTCTCAAAAATATTTTCAAGAGACTTAGTATAATCAATATAAAGATTTATAGGAGATTTAGGAGGAAAATACACAGTACTTACATATATATTATAAGAATCAAATTGAAGGAGAATAAAAAGGTTCTCAACAGTTGTTTTATCAAAGGAAATCAATGAACTCGTATATTTACGATTTATCGCGATCAGGACTCCACCACCACGTTCGTAAGCGCTCGTATCTGGATTTCTGTCTAGCCTATATATATATCAAATGAATAAAGATTTACCTCTGTGTCTGTGATGTCCTTGTGAAGCCATGTTTCAGTTAGGATTATGATGTCCAGATTTTCGAAGGCTGATGAAGTTCTGTTCAATGTAGACAATTTGGTGCGAAGTCCTCTCACGTTCTGATATAAGATTGATAGATCCGGGGATTGCCTATTTATATGTTTTCCTGGTTGATAGAAGAACTATCTATGGAATTTGTTATTGTACTATCTTTGGAAATTATTATATATGGAACTCCATTTCTATACTTCAATTTACTTCCAGTAATACCTTTTTCTTCATTTGCCTTCATTTGAGATAATAAGCTTTTGAAATGTTCACGTTGCTTTGGTGTCTGGTCGGCTGAGATTTTAATAGAACTTTTATTGCTTTTCTTGTGTTTGAGAATGTCTAACACCAAGGAGCGATTTTTCAATATAACTTTCAACGATCTTGTGCTAGATGGTGAATTTGTTTGAGAATCTGTTGACGATTTGGCAGGATTACTTCGTTTATTATTGGGACCTAGTCTCATTGTTGAAAATTCACCAATATCGATGTGGGAGATAGCTTTTGAATACTGAATACTTCAATTTTGTGTGATAATTATTAGAACTTTTTGAAGCACTGAGAAAGTACTTATGAGCATGAAAATAAATGTGGGTGTCAGAAATTGGGAAAAAGGCAAGAAATTTCAGGAATATAAGATATATTGCAAGATGCCTTCATAATATGTTTAATATGAAAAAAGAAAAAAATGTTTTTGAATTACATTTTTTGTTTTGGCTTAAATGTCTGACATAAAAGCATACTTCAAATAATTGCACTTTTTTCAAGCAACAAAAAAAAAATCTTCTTTTGAATTCCCTTGAAAAAATTATTTGAAGTGATGACAAAACAACAAACAAAATTACGATTGCTTTATCTGTAATGTTTACTTTTTTTTTTAGTATTTCATTACAAATGAAAAATTACTCGAATAAATTATTTTCATAAACCAGCATATTTCTATTATCATCATGATTTTCATCTGAAGAGTTATCAGCATCTGAAACAAAAAGTACCAATATGACAATCGGATAACAATACGCATGAGTATTTGTGATCTCTTGTTGCATTTGCAACATTAAATAGTTTCTATCACAGGGGAATAAACATTTTTGCTGAAAAAGGCCTACTACAATGCTTACTGCTAACTTATTTATGATATGACTGTCTGCAGAAAAATAGCAGTAGAGATTCTGGATCTCAAGAAAATATGCATTGATAGGAAATAGCCTCAAATGTACTTAGTCTGGGAAATGCTGTTGTAATCTGGTATCATTGGTAATAGAATTCAAAAAATAGTGTTACTAATGTATTCGAATCAAAGAACATGCGAGAAAATGTATTTATTTTTCTTTAATGAAATAAATATATACATATATTTTCAGAATTTCCCTGTAAAGTCAAAACCTAACATCGAAAATTTCAAATACCTATTCAAATTTTTTTTTTTTTTATTGGTACAGATGAGTCAATTACAAAGCATTAAGAAGATATATGTAAAAAAATAAAAATTTACAATGTTAATCTGTATATTGCAAGGAATTCACATCAGTTTAATTTATTAGCAGTACATATTAAAAAATTATTTGTAGAAAAAGAAGTACTTTTTCTTCTTTCTTTCTTTTTTTTTTCTTTTCCTCCATATGTTTTTAGTACATATTTCTTTTAATTTCTATAAATTCCCATGATCAACTCAATTTTTCCCCCCAAATCAGTTGATTAAATCATCCCAAGCAGAAACTGATTTTTAAAATTATTTTCATCAGATACAATCCATGGATTTGACACTGGATAATTGAACCCCAAGTATTGGAATTTCCTCTTCATTTATCTTTTTATATCACCCACATTTAAATACAATATTAGTCACCCCTCCAGTTTGAACACTCGAACTCCTTCCCAAAATCAAAATTGCATTTTACATGCCGAAGTGAGCTTACGTACCATTACTCTAAACTTGACAAATGTCTTAGAAAATCATTAAACTCTAAATGTTGAATGAAATGAAACACAAGGAGGTGCACATGCAAGGTGAGTTATGTTATAGTAAATTCAAAATAAAGAGGTGAACTTACTGATACTAGACCAGTCTGTAAACGATGTACCTCTAGATGACCAACTGAGTGAATGTTCTTTTGCAAAAGATACCTTCAGTTGTATCCCTGATGCCATACAGCCATTGATCTAAACAAATAGTGCCAAGAGAAAGAGAGATGGTTTATGATTTGAAATATGTATTCTTTACCATTTAATGTTCTGCTTCTCTAAAACCAGAGTTTTTTTATTGAAACAATATTTTACTGCTCCAGACCATATGAATAAAATATAGGCAGTATAGGTGTTGTGTAGTTACAGAACCTTTCAATGATTCAAGATCTTCACTAAACTTGACAAGTAATGATATAAAAATCTCACAAACAAATCCTTGCTCTTATTTATTTTAATTTCTTTGTCAAGTAAAATTTTCAAATAATTGCAATTTATGTTCTCAATTCTAAAATCTATATATAACAATGACTCTTAGCTATCTTCTGGGTATTGAGCCTGTATACAACATAGAGTAAACTTCAGTTAAATTTTGTTCTATCTTGTAATGTTGCTTTTATCCCATCAGCCAGGGGCTAAATGCAATTAGTAACCAGGGTTCCCATCTAGGAATCCATGGTGTCCAGAGTTACTTAACTTCCATGACTTTATGGAGCGTAGTTAAACAATTTGGCTAACAACTTAAGCTTAAACGTTGATTAAAATTAGATGCAGCAATGTAAATAAATAAGCACTATTTTAATGCACTCACCTCTGTTACAGCACGGTTTGCTGCTTCAACTTTGTCAAAAGTAACAAAACCACATCTGTTAAAATAATATAGTGTGTATTATTCATAAAACAACAGACATACAGTCTTAATGAAAGATCGTTACAAAAAAACAAACATTACTATATTTGAAACATTCCTTATATTTTTCAACAATAGGCCAACATTGTTACTGCTTTTACCAGTCAATCAATAAGCAAGATGTTTCAAAGAGGTTGCTTTAAGAGAAAATTGCAATGCTATAATAATGGAAATTTGTGCAATGCAGAGCACATTTTTTTCACGGTTTATAAGAAAACCACTACACCATGGTCTGCCCCTCAGCAACTTTCCAGTAGCTATTCAAATTATTTTTAAATTTCATTTTAAAAATAGTTGATCTTCATGAAAAGTGTAGTTAAAAAGAAAATATATTTATTTTATTCTTGGTAAGAAACTGCAAAATACTTACTGATTCTCCTCGTCCATAGCTACATTCACAATTCTACCACATGTCTGGAATGACCTTTTCAAGTAATCTTCCGAGATATTATGACCCTTCACTTTTATAGTATTGCCATTATAGATTGTATTTGTTTCTATCCTAGGTATCTTTGGCACTGCAGTTTCATCTTCTTCTTCCCAGTCATGAACAGATATACTGGGCTTGTACACATTCTAAAAATGAAAATAAAGAAACACCTTTTTCTGCTAGCGTTCATGAAATATGAACAAACACTATAGTTTGCTTTGCTAATTTTTCGACTCTGATGACATGGAATTCTTTTGGTGTATCCCATGGTAATCTTTTCACCTATTTAACTGTGTCTTGGTTTATAATTTTTTTTTATCATGAGAATTTCCCAACTGTATTGAGCTATCCCAGTAAGAATAATCATATTTCAGAAATTAGAAAAGGGAAAAAACACCATCATAAATAAAATTGTGGGTTACCAATGAGAGAAGATTAGTATTGTCTATTATTATTATTACATTCTGTTAATTTGGCAGATCATCCATAATAATAAAATTATTGCCTGCATTACATTTGACAGGGTTTTGATTTACAAAATTAATGTTGGGTAAAAACACCTGCAGTTAAGAACATATGTGTAGTTTCCTAAAAATTCTTTGGCATCAGTACTAAATTTGTTTGGTGAAACCCAATGATGAGCAATTAGCATACCTCTTTTTGAGTTTTCTGAGTAGATCACTTCTCTAAAAATGGCAAATTTTTATTTTTTCTATATTTTTTTATTGTTTTATTTCTAAATTCCAATTTTATTGCATTATTGGCCACTTGAAAATTGCAAAAATTTTGGTATTATTCAGAAACTTAATTTAGTAACGGCTAATCTTTCTACCCCCTGTATATATCAGAGACCAAAAACGAGCTGGTTCATTGTTGTGTGGAATAGAAATAGGGATATCAATATTAATGAGATATTTTCTGCTTATTATTTAAATATAAAGTAAGCGATAATAAATAAATCATCTTTGTTCTAGTCCAATCTTAGAAGTCATGAGCTTCATGCTCTGGAAGTTTGTGAAGCCTTCATTTTTCCAAATTTTTGCTTTAAGCCAAATCAGTGCCTACTACTGTTGTCCCAAAAATAATAAAAATAATTATTTCCAACACTGTTGATGGTATAAATGACGGAAAGTGCAACAGAATGAAAAGAAAAAATTAAAATAATTAACAATGTTCAGTTTTCTACTTTACAATTCATGACTTCATTTTTATTTTCTAGTTTAATATATTCCTTTTCTGTCATCAACAATTTAAAAATATTATTATTATAAATTATTACTTTTGAATGAAAACTTGCAACATAATAAGTTGGCTAACTCACATTTTATTTTACAATGTTGTTTTGCATTAGAAGAAACTCTGTCTGCATTTGCAATAGAGTGTGATTACTTCCAAATGCTCACCTTCCTTTTATTTTGGAGCCTGGGCCGAGGTTGCATGTCTGAACTATGTTCAAAACCATCAAATGAGATTTTTGTAGCATTGAGCTTGCGCTCTAGAGTTATTGATCGCTTAAAGCCAGTGTGTTCTGAATGGCTCGCCTTTCTTGCAAAGGATGGGAGAACTCCCATCTGTACCATCTTTTTAACAACTTTTGTTGTAAGTTTTGGCTCTGTGGACGCTTTAGGGGCAGGGATTTTCTCCTGCTCTGTTTGTGGTAACTTCAATGATTGTAGAACCTTTTTCTAGGAAGAAACATTTAAATTAAGTCCTGCAATAACTGCTGGTGAAATCATTAAATAGAATACTGATATCATACATATTATTTGTAATAACAATGAAACCTTCCAATTTTATTTATGATTCACAACTTTGAAATATTTTTTGTCAACAGTGGTCAGGTACAGTACAGACACCAAGAAATTAATTTCAACTCTTATGAGGGATGCTCATTTACCTAGTTGTTTCAGTATACTGAGAAAGAAAGCATAAGCCTGATAAGAAAAAAAATCATTGTTAGTATTTCCGTATATCACATACAATGAAAGTATATATGAACTCTTGGATCGATGACAACTATGGTGTTTGAACATTTCCCCATGCAGATAGGAGTAAGAGGTAAATTGGGGATAATTTGTCAACTATAAAATACTGATGAATATGAAGAATGTGGAACTTATATTTTACGTCAAATAAGTACAATTACAAGATACGCTATTAGCGTTAAAAATTATTTTTCCACTTTACATCCACTTCTGTTAAATTAAGTATGTGGAGAATATTTGCTTTGCGATATTTTCCCCCGACACCACCAATTACTTAATTAATTATGTGAATGAAGTTCGAATAAAAACGTACTTTCTTTTTAAGCACAGCATATTTGGCTTGTAACATTTTTTCCTCTTCAGTCAACTTCGACGGGAATCGCATGTACTCCATTGCAAAAGGTAACGTGACTGACTACGCCACTGCTTTCATCTGTTCAATATTGCAGGTAAGCATCATTTAGGGGCCCCGATTCCTAGTTCGGCCCAATCGAGAAAGCACCCCGAAAGCTGATAAAATTAAGTATGGATTTTATGAAAGTGCTGTAGTATATTTAAGTCAAAAGTATGTGTTTTATGGAATTATTCCCAGATACGTTATCTTACTAATTGTTTCGGTGATTGGATGGTTCTCTATCGGAATACTTAAAAGACAACCATCACATTACATTTATCATGCTTCCCGTAACTTTTGGAAGAGAACAATAGTGCCAACAGTAAGCGTCCGTCCACATTCCGTTTGCTAAGTGACAGCGCTTTCATGTTTCGAAGATGAATGAAACAACTGTTTCTACTCCATGCTGCTGAGCAACATTAATCGGTAAGAATTCTTGACTAATTTACGTTTTTGTTTGACTATCGTAATATTAGCTTTTTTACGATCTACTGTGTACATACGTTTTACTTTGACTATTGGCAATATATACTTCATTCGAATATATTACCAGTGAATTAAATGAATAAAAAAATAACACCCGATTCCTTCCGACGGTTTAAGCATCGAATGACATTACAAACATTAGGAAAAATACAGTTCTATATTTGTCTGTACAGATAAAATGATTTCACAATTTATTCCATTGCATCATTACTAAAATGCCATGAGGTAGTCATGGACATGCCAAATTATAATTACTATAAATGTTACTAATCAGGAATGAAGATTGAGAACAACTATTCTTATCAGAAATAAACTACTGTCTTTTTGAAAAGTTTCTTGTAAATTGGAATTGATGTAATAATAAATCAAGTTGATGTATAAAGTACATGCAGGGATGTTTTAAAAAACATCTCAGGCTTATTTCTTTATTTACCATCATTGCTCAATATATATAATTAATAAAATAATTTTTGGAATGAAATATTTTTGTACTAATAATATAACATGTACTCAATTTGTAAGTTTTTAAACTACTATTCAAATTTTATTGAAATTATTTTAGAAGATTCAAAATTCAATAACCAAGAGATAGTCTCTCAAAATACATTTTTAGCATCTCATCTTCATAACTAATCTCAACTTCCATTTCAACAACATCAATAAAAATCAGTGATCTATTGTGAGAAGTTTTCATCCAAATATTGTGATTATCTGAATTCCTTTCAACGTTAATAGTTACTTTACATAACAGTTCCATTATTTTCTCATGTATACCAGTGGTCCAACATATTATGTTAGTCTTCTATAGTTGTCTTGTTAGTGGTTGTAATCAGTCGATTAATAATTAATTTCATATTCCTGAGAAATGACTGTATTTTTTTCATTATTTTAAGAAGGGCTGTGTATGTGGTGTATTTCTATGCAAAGAACGGTCTTCTGAAGGTGTATGTGTATATTATATATATCCATTTTAATTATATCTGTGAATTCACACAAAGCTGATAATATGTTGCTTTGATAATTCGAATTTTATATCTTGTCAACCGATAGCATTTCATGAATTTATAACTTTTTTTATATGGGCAAATCTCTTTGATTTTGATATTTCGTGTTAGGTAATAGTTTGGCAAGATTCTACAAAAGAACTTAACTTCGGCAGTTATAAATGATAAGGAAAACCTGTCATTGATACAGCCGAATGAACGAAATAATGTTTGTTCGTAAACCAACAGTTGTGGTGTTATTATTCATGAAAGTGTAAACGACATCTCGGACATTCGTAAATAATTTAAAAAAATTATCAGCGTTGCTGCATAAAATATGACAGAGGGTATAAAATGTTCTCTTTAAAATGCGCTCGTTGTTAATGGTATGAACCTACCATCTCATCCTCTTTTCTTTTATTCGTCTCTTTCTGATGTAACACTCAATTGCTAATTCCGCGGCATCTGTGTTTGCTTGCACAAGACCACAGGGCGCCCGTAGCGTTGCACCTGGCGTCCTGTGATCGTGCCCATGTGACCTACCAACCAACGGACGTTAACAACGTACGGTTTGTGACCCTCGTGTACCGTTAGCCTCATAGTCAAACATGCCATTAATGACGTGACGTACGGCGTATCATACGGCAATATAAATCTTCTGCGCAAGCGCAGGTCGCGCAGCGCCTTACTATGGAGATTTTGCACGGCTCAGTGTACAGCAATCGACTGCACAATCGATGTCATGCGCGTAAGCACATGCACAAAAGTGATTCGAAACTCAAAATGCGCATGCGCTGAATATTGACAGTGCTGTCGATTGCTGTAATGCTTCGCCTTGCAAAACTTTCCAACTTTCGAGCATCTGCGCATGCACAGAAAGTTGAGATTGCTGTTAATTGATGTACCCTACTCATTAGGTACTAATGTTATAATACTCTGTGTTTAACGCTCAGAGTGGCGCACAGCAATCTCTCGATACACTATAACACTTTTGAGCACATGCGCATGCGCAGTTAGAATTCTCTATGCACAGAAGGTCGATATAGCTGTCGATTTCGTACGCTACGGTGTATTTAAGAACCCTTATGACTGGAAGGTTGCGGATCCAATCTAGGGATGCGATATCGATGATATTAGGGGCTGGATGCACAGCCTACTGAACACCAATAGACAACCTCGACCTTTTGCACATGCCCAGATGCTCAACTCGAACTGAGCAAAGGGCAGTTGATCGATGTTGCTGTCGATTTCTGTACTCTACGCTATGCTTAATGTCCCATTTTCAAAAACATCGATTCATTGAAGTAAATGTTTTGAGCTCGATGTTTTTTTTTACTTGGCTGATATTTTATTGTTCGATCAAAAATTATAATTTTAAGATGTCAATAAATTCAAAAAATTTCAGACTTATGTGAACGGGGATACAAGTAAGTGGAGTTTCTGTAAATAAGTAAGGAGTTCACATTTATCAGTTTTCGAACATTATCCAACTCGCCGAATAATAATGAACACAATCCCTAGTGACAGCTATAAGTGGAATTTCCAACGTAGAAAGTATGAAATAAATAGAAAACGGTAAATAATTTGTTAAAAAGAACATTGTGGTACTACACATGTTACGCTTATCCGAAACTAGATATTTTGCGAATTATCCAGCTAATGTTCAGATTATCCAAAAAGGATCAATGAAATCTGAAGTAAGAACAACTCGGAAACCATATTTTGGATGTTTATTCTTAGAAAGTTGACTTTAGAAAACACGATGTGTCTACGGTAGGTGAAGTAATTCACTGTGTCGAGAAATAACAATTCCGTGAAAAGAAATTCTGGTGGGAGGAGTTTCTAAGGCTACTGAGAGATAAGGTGTTGAGTTTCGAGTTCCATTGTGGCAGTTGTAAGATTTTATTTACACGACTCAACCTAAACTATATATCTCAAGTTGACGCTTCGCATTCTAAAGTAGAAGCGAAGACAAAGATCCGCCCTGAGGGATTGGCTTAAAACGGTCCTTGCAAACACATAATTTCCAAAGCATTCCAATTTCTTGCGAACGAACAAGACGCCTCAAACTCGGACTATCACCTTACTTTGCTCAGCGCCCTGAAGCTCTCAATGTTAGACGGACAAAGTCCGAAATGATCCATTTGTCATTCGGCTTCATCCACACCGTCTGATTTATGTGTGAATGAAGCGGCTACTTCTAACGTTAGCCATATTTTAGACTTCAGCCGTAATGCGAATACCACACCACACTGTAGGAAATGCCATTAAATCGAAAGTAGATTAATATATTGTATATGAAACTTAATGTAATATTGTACATTAAAAAAATTCAAATATTATTACATTAAATTTAATGCATAAGTTAAAATCCATGTAGATTTAATGAAGAGGTTCTCCCGTTTCCCCTGACTCTCGTTGTTTATATCCTATATTCATGTTCACCAGTCCATCGATATCATTAATTCATTTCCTCCAGAATGATAATAAAACTTTTTGCCCCTTGCATGCTAATGTACATGTGTAGATTAAATTTAATGTGTGTTAATGATCATTACTGTCATGTACTAATTTACATTAAAGTAATGTGGAAATTTCTCACTGTACGACTGAAATAAAGTGTTCATAGTTCGTAGTAAAGCTAGCACCGTGATCTAAGCGAAAACGTATCAGAAGCTTCGACATTTGTACATAATTGTCGCCTCAAATTACAGAATACATTAATTCCATGTCCCAAATGTAATTAATATTCACCTGAGTGTCATTACAAGTGTCGAGGGCGAGGTTAATTGCGTTTAAGTGCTTTGCTTGTGAGGGTAATTGCGTTAGTGATTTCAAAATCGTCATTAGTGATTTGGACGATACTTAAAAATAATAATCCGGATGATAGTGATTGTATTAACACAGTACAACGTAGAACATTAGCAAAGTGTTTCCTTTAAAAAGAACTCTATTGAGTAAGGATTGTTGTCATTCACTTTCGTTGGGTTTTTCGCTTGTTCGACCAAAGGTCTCCACAGTACATATTTACAAGGAAAGTCTTGGACATACCAATGCTGATTCGGCTGAAATATTTTTTGTCCGTGATAGTTTTCGACATTCATAAAGCGAATGTAAGCGATTTTCACTGTTAACTTATTATTTCTAATGACATGAATTTTAAAAACATCGTTTCTCAACGTTATTATAAAACTTTCGCCCTTCTTTATCAAATAAAAATCTGCGGGTACGCACGTTAAAAATGAGCGCGTTTTAGGAATCGCATATTACCCGTTTGAAGTTAAAATAAGATGATCAATTCAATTGTTTAACCGTTTTCTTTAAATGTGGGTATTATAATTTGGGTTTATAAATGTTCTAGAAATCGCTGATAAATAATCTGGTACCTAAATAGCAGAGCACATGATGCGAAGTCAATTTGGCACAAACCTTACAGAAATTGTTTGTAAAATTATAAATAAATACTAAAAATAAATTTACTTCTTTAAAACTTTATGTAATTTTTACTTTCTAATGATCAGATGTCCAGAAGC